TTTTTTTTTTTTTTTTGTTAAGTACTTCAACAGCAGTAACAAGAATATGTAAAGAAAAAAAAGTTTTCTGGTAAGGAACAGTAAGTTTAGGTACTTAATTTTGAACAGTAACGCAAAAGTGACAAAGATCTGCTGATGTTGGTACACAGAGAACAAATCGCCAATACTATTATCAATTTTAAGCTTAACAATAGTATTGTCTTTTTTTTATTTTTTAAGAACTTTTTTATACGTCTTTATCTTACTCGACTGTTCTAAATCACCGTTGCAGTAATTCGGAATACAGCTCCTTGCACAGTTACTTTAGAATTTAACAATAATTTGACAGTATCGGAAGGTGACGGTTCGTACAAGTGCATAATACTTTACTCTTTTAACAAATTCGGCATCAATTTATCTGACGGTCTTATTCCATCTAAATACTCTGTAAAAAAAAGAATTGGGTTTTGTGGAAGAGTTTTTTTGGAGGAATAAAGTTCAAATTCTGTGTAAACGTCTTCATCGTTTTTGGTTTTCATAAGTGACACCAACCTATCGCTTACTGTTATTATACTCATGTCAATTTTTTTCGTTAAAATTTGCAGTCATTATCTGTTCACAACTATTCTAAATTTGCAGCTTCGCAACAGTTAAATGTGTGTAAGATTTTTTCGCTTAACCAAAAGCTTTAGGTAATTAAAGGATTGGAGGAAAAGAGTAGTTGTTTAAACAGTAATTTTGGAATCAACAAATGCTTTGAAGGTTTCAGAAAGATGGCGGGACAACCTAAAAAACTATAAAGATGTATTGACTGATAAAAGTTTACTTACAAAAATTACTTGTTCTATTTCTGGCGACTTCTATAATGGGCAGTTGTTCAGTTACACCACTGTTCGTAAAAGTTAAAAATCATATTGAAAAAAAGATAAATTTTCTTTGCAGACTGAAGTAGTTTTCATTTACAGTCATCAAAAGAACTACTGGCACTAAGTCAGTCAGTTGATTAGTGTGCTAAGTAAACATTGGCTTAAGACGGTATTTACTGTTTTGTCGTTAAAAATGGCAGTCCTGAAAAATTCTACGAAAAAGAAAAAAGAAAGTACCGGACTGTAGGAACTATTTTTAGGATGGTAAAAAGAGTGTAAAAAGTTTTGTTGGTGATTTCCCAACTTTGTTTGTACAGTTTTTGAAAGACTTTCTTGTTGCGGTATTAAAGTGAAAATATTTTTGAATACCACCTGAAAAAATTAGAGATGTAAGAAAGAAAAAAAAAAACCTAAGCTATTTCTTCTGATGTTTTATTTTATTTCAGAATTATTCGAAAACGATAGTGTGGGTGTGTAAAAATCAAAAAAAAAATTTTTTTTTCTTATGTATTTTTTCTGCTTATTTCTGCGCTAAATTTCTCACGTCTTCTCCACAGCTTTTTACACAAAAATTGTCTTAGAAATAGGAAAGAAAGCAATATATCTTTAAAAAATTGCTATTATTAGCATCAATGATCTTTTTTCTTTGCATATCTAAAGTTACAGTTTGCATCTGTTGGTGTTACCACAGTTTACTGCTTCGAAATTCTTCCGCATTTTTTTTTTGGCAAAAAAAAAAAAACAGTTTTGAATTCTAAATTACTTTCTCGCTGCTCCCAAATACTTTGCTTGATGAGGTTGCCGTGTAAGGTTGTAGTAAACATTAATTCAATTCCATTAGTAGCTGCAAAAATTCCATTTTCTTTCTGCTATTTACACTGATAGACTTAGGAAACAATTTGAGAAAAGCAAGGAAAAAAAAATATACACTAAAACAGTGGTTGTTTGGTAAACAGATTTTAAGCATTAGCGGAGATAACAGCTAACAAAATATCAGTGATTTTACTGTATGCGAGAAAATATTTGTACGATTTGATTTAAAAAGTTCAAACAAAAAGCGTTATTTACTTCTACCTAAATTTTCTGTTTTGGTTGTCTATAAGATTGCTGTAAAAAAGTAAATCATTTGGTTTTTGATTGGCGAAAAAATTTTTTTTG